TCTGCTGCAGAATGTGATAGCACCATCTAATGTGCCTGAAACAGAAACGTGTCAGAAGTCAAACTCATGTGAAAGCTTTTACCCCTATATATTAAAAGTCCAAGTGAACATTCTGTTTGAATTAAAGTTACATAGTTAGTCAGGTTGGAAAAAGACACATGTCCATCGGGTTCAACCTATAGAGATATGAAAAGAAAAAAAAAAACCTAAACAGAACACTATGCCCACAATTACCCACTGTTGATCCAGAGGAAGGCAAAAAAAAACCCTATAAAAGCATTGTTCAATTTGCTCCAACAGGGGGAAAAAAAATCCTTCCTGATCCCATAAGGCAATTGGATATTCCCTGGATCAACGATCTCTGATGCGTAATATATCTATAAGAACCCAATATCCAGTAATATTCTGTGCATTTAGGAATACATCCAGATTTTTTTTTTTAAACAATTAACTGAGCTAGCTAGAACTAGCTCCAGGGGGAGTCTATTCCACATTTTCACAGTTCTAACTGTGAAGAATCCTTTCCGTATGCAAAGGTTAAACCTCTTTCACCCCAGATGTAAAGAGTCTTGACCCCTTGTCCTTTGCAGTGACCTTAAAGTGAATTATTTGGCTCCAAGCTCACTATATGGACCAACTGTTGATCCAGAGGAAGGCAAAAAAAAACCCTATAAAAGCATTGTTCAATTTGCTCCAACAGGGGGAAAAAAAATCCTTCCTGATCCCATAAGGCAATTGGATATTCCCTGGATCAACGATCTCTGATGCGTAATATATCTATAAGAACCCAATATCCAGTAATATTCTGTGCATTTAGGAATACATCCAGATTTTTTTTTTTAAACAATTAACTGAGCTAGCTAGAACTAGCTCCAGGGGGAGTCTATTCCACATTTTCACAGTTCTAACTGTGAAGAATCCTTTCCGTATGCAAAGGTTAAACCTCTTTCACCCCAGATGTAAAGAGTCTTGACCCCTTGTCCTTTGCAGTGACCTTAAAGTGAATTATTTGGCTCCAAGCTCACTATATGGACCATTTATGTATTTACACATGGTGATCATGTCCCCCCTTAATCACATCTTCTCCAGAGAGAACAAATTCAGATCAGTTAATCGTTCCTCATAACTGAGCTCCTCCACGCCTCTTATGAGTTGAGTCGCCGTTCGCTTCACTTTCTACAGTTCCACAACATCCTTTTTGTGAACTGAACTGCATATTCCAGATGAGGTCTTACTAATGCTTTGTACAGGGGCAGGATGATGTCTTTATCTCTGGAGTCTAGACTGCTTTTAATAAAGAAAGTATATTGCTTGCTTTAGAAACTGCTGCTTGGCGTTGCATGCTATTATTACCAGAACACCCAGATCTTTCTCCATCATTGCCCCCCCCCCC